TCTCTCTCTCTCTCTCTGTTTCTCTTTTAGAAGTTTCTCGCTTGAACCTATCGAAGGCATGCACGAGGCATGCCGATGGTCCGCAATAATTCACGCGAACTTCAAAATGCTTACAACGAGCCGCCGTTGCCACGGCCGGGTATTCGTCGTCCTACTCCTCTCAGTTCTCTATTTTGGAGTGTTCGGTGCGACTTCCCGAACTAGATAGTAATTTGACACGAACCTCAACACTCACAAGAATCTCTCTCTGTCTCTCTCTCTCTCTCTCTCTCTCTCTCTCTCTTGCTCTCTTTGATTTGAGGTACTTCTTAACTGGAACCTCTCGTTTTTATTAACATTCATGGAACTGATATATTAATTCAACAACGATCCATGGACTTATTAATATTAAAAATTGCGAATTGAAAGAAGATAAGCGGATGTTTCTTAATCAATTTTTGTCGCAAAGTTTTTGACTTCACAGATGCAATAAAACAATTTCTATAAGAATCTACGTGCTGTAATAGACATGTTACACTTCTCTCTCCGTCCTCGTTATAGTTACAGAGATGCATACAAAGAGAATATAGAAAGAATAAAAGTATAAATAAGTATGGAATCAATTACTGAAATATTTGTATGTAGTTCTCTACGTAGAGAATCACTCATTGTTAGCCAGCGTGTTTCACTTCGCTCGGAAAGAGTTAGTCGTGAGACACGAAGCTTAAATCTGTTAAAGAACTGTCTTAAAGAACTGTGTTCGATGTTGCGATATTTAAATCTACATAGCGGGGATAAAAAGGACGTATTTAAAGATGAAGAACAAAGGAGGGAGAGAAGGGGACAACGTTGCGGAAAAAACGCAAAACCTAGGACGGATTAAGGCTTTCTTTCGCACTGAGAGACGCCTCCGGGTACCAATTGACCTCCATATTCACCATCCGTTGTATCGGGAGCTGTTCTGAGCCGCTTAAGTAGGTAGGATTTAGTTCCGTGAAGCGACAACGAGTCGTGGCTGCCAGTCTCCCGCATGTTAAGGCGCCATTCGCTATTCTTTTTCTTCTACCTTACAGACCAGGGTCTGGAATCCCAATGGCGAGTCTACAGAAGCGCGTTCCATACTAGAGAGAGATAAAATTCCGACAGCGGTTTCAGCCAGTTCAACGATAATCCGTTGAAGCAGAGGACAGCAACGTTATAAACAAACATAAACACGTAGCATGAAATGAGCAACTATTTAATTCTCATTATGTTAGATATCTACTTCGTATTCGTGGAAAAAATTCAAAAAATTATTTATTTTTTATAATTTCTATTCAAAGCTAAAGAATGTGTTTAGAACGTCTATGTCTGTGTGTGTGTGTGTGTGTGTGTGTGTGTGTGTGTGTGTGTGTGTGTGTGTGTGTGTGTGTGTGTGTGTGTGTGTATGATAATAAATTAATTTTCTTTAACTTTTAAATGTTCTCTTTTATGGTATTCTTATTGTGTAATACAATAGATATATACATATATTATGTCTACAATAGTTTAAGATGATTTTTCTTAATTATCGCACAACTATTTATTAGATTTTTTAAATTTAAAAACACGCGATATATTTATTCGAAATAGAGCCTTTTATTAACCTTTTATTTAGTTCAATTACACGCGGATATTTATAAATGTTTGTTTTCATTTTTCATCACTAACGTTTCGAAATGTGTCCTTTTCATTATTCATTCATGTATTTGTCGATCAGTTGATTGCAACGCCTTGGCGAAAGTAAAAATCAGAAGAGAAAAGTGACAGAAGCATAAATAAAGTTTCTAAGAGACGAAAGTTGAGACGTTTACGCTTCTTTTAAGTTTCGTTGTCTCATTTTTTGTTTTCTAGGAGCTTCGTTTGTGCTGCTGTTACTCTCTATTTTGCATTACGATTTTCTTTATTTTGTCAGGATCAAGTTCATGGATTCGAAGCCCAAATTCTCCGTAATCACGATTCAGTTCTCAGATAATCTCGCATATCTTTATTCTATATAAATATAGTAATTTAGTAATATGAAATATACTGTTTTTATAATCAATATTTATATATTGATTTATACGTTGACATACACATGTAAATTAAAAGTTAAAAAAATTAATTTATTATTTTTAACTCGGAGGGATTGGATTGTCGTTTGATATTTAATAGTATTTGTCTTATTTTTAAAAAAGAAACATATCGAACTTATTTTAATAACTTGAATTATTCTATCAACAATAGTGTTATATTAACTGGGTACGGTTTTGTTACAAAAAAAATTTTAAAAGAATCGATTTCGATGACGCATAGAAGAATGCAGAAGAATGCCTTTTGTTCTCAGGATTTTTGCACCTGGAAAAGAGTCGATAGTCATTGAAAATTGTCAGCGGCATCGAAACAGTTTAAAAATCTGTCTCATCATTAATCATGTCTCTCTAACGGTAAATTTTTGCTAATAAGGGTAGGCTATAAAAGAAGTACAAATTTAGGTAACTCCTTAACAAATTCCAAAAAACTTTGAAAGTCGTTTTTAATCTTTCTACAATATTTTGATAGATCATGTATGTAAGAATGACATGTATGATATATCATGTGTGTGTGTGTGTGTGTGTGTGTGTGTGTGTGTGTGTGTGTGTGTGTGTGTGTGTGTGTGTGTGTGTGTGTGTGTGTGTGTGTGTGTATTACGAGCAGAAGCGAAATTATGGGTTCATAAAAATCGTTATTAACGACAATGACATGAAAACTAGTTTTTGTAAAATTTTTGAAGATTTTATATACTCGGCTGAAATTAATCAATTTCACTATTTTTAATTCTCACATCTCGTACGTAATTTAATTTCAAAATTTTCTTGTCCTTTGAACATCTAATCGATCTAATGCATTGATTGCTAAAAAGGAAGGGATAAAACGATATCAATTGTCTAATTCGATTGTCTTTGCTATCGTAATGATTCCGTACACTATGCAATATCCTACTGAAAAATTTTTATAGCAAACAGTGATATTTTAATTTAAAATAAGATTATAAAAAAGACGATGCTTTCTCCAACAAAGGTTCACAAGCTGATCCTGACGCTGCTGTACAATAGTAAATGTTAAGTGCGTCTCGTTGGTTCTGGCGCCAGAATTTATGACGCGTGTCACCCAACGACCAGGTAGTTTGGTAATCCTACTGTCACCTCCATGGAAACATTTTTGAGTGTACATCTTTCACATTGTGAGTCATCCACTCGAAATCTTCGTGTTGCTGAAAAGGTAACGAAAAAAATCTTCCAGTTTTTATATTTATTATTCCGTAACCTTTTCATCTGATTTTATTGGAACTATGTCACCATTTTTTTAAATTCTATTTATGCGCACTTTAATAAGTAATTCACTAAATAATTCTTTAAAAGTTTTTATCGTTTTTCCAACATATAAATATATTATTACGTGTCAATAAAATTAAATAATTTCAACGGATATTTTCAAATTTGAGTACATTACAATGTACGCAGGGTCTAAATAGGAATTAATAGGTAGCTCGACAAACAGAAAAAGCTATGAGAAGCAAAAGAGAGAGAAAAAGGTTTATCAATATAAGGCAAACTATTTAAGAATATAAAAATGTGGAAAAGTAAAAAGAAAATAAAATGAAAAAATTATGACAAAATAATAACATCTACAAAATAAAATAAAGGAAAGTAAAATAAGAAAAAAAAATAATAAAGGTTAGATAGATAATGAACAAAAAAAAGTTAAAAATAGAGAGAGAGAGACGCGTGTAGTTATTTATTAAACGAAATTGAAACATCCACGAATCGATCAATCTGTGTATGTCGACGATGAACGATGAGCTGTAGTACGGTTGGATTTTATTTTAAGAACTTGAATTATACGAACGACGGCATGAGCGCCAGCCTATAGCTTGAATGTAATGTATGTATACATTGAGTTACTTGTATTGAGTTTTGCTCAATAAGCAAGAATCTATTTCGTCCAATCTTATTCTTCGTTTGTTATACGAATTTGAGCGTTATGTGTAAGAAAAATACTTTTCTCTTCAATTTCTTAATTATATATTCATCAATCCTTTCCTTTCTCTGTCGTATACTTTAAATAAATTTGTCGCAGAGAAATAGATAAATTTATCTCGCGACTATGTTGTTAAAAAAAAAAAAAATCAATTAGTCCGCTTCGCTGTCGCTTTTTTTCTAAAATTCAAATGTATCTTATTATCGCGATTGCGATTCCCTATCCTAGCGAACATTCGATAAATGAGCGTTACGTATTATTTTCGCGTGGCGAAATCAGCCGCTCTTTAGTGAGCGCAAGTCGATTTCCGCGAGCGCGAGCGCGTATCGACGCCGAAAATATGTACATACATGCTGCCGCGTATAATTCGCGCAGACCGCGTGCACACGTGTATGTATGTGAGCGTGCGTGCATGGCGGCGTGCATACTAGTACAGAACGGATGCTATACTACCGGCACGGACACGATATGGCCGCACTCTGCACTTCGACGCGCCGTTATCTCGGCACCATCTAGCTTGGCTAAAAGCTTCTCCCCATCAACCTCCCTCCTTCTGTTCCCTTACTACGGGCCTGGAACCTTCTTCTAGCCGACGCCGCGGCGCGGAGTGTTATAGTGCGTCGTACCCCCGCGTGTCCTAATTTTTCTTCGAATTGTTACGCTTGTGCCGCTTAATGGTAAACCGTATGCTTTTTTTCGATTCAACTGTAAATCGAATATTTGAATATTTACATTCGACTGAAATGTTCTCGGGGTTTTTTTTATTAATATAAAGCAGTATTATATAACATATTTTAATGTGTGGCACGAAATTCAAAAAGAAAACCGAATATGGGAAAGTGTCTTTATATTTTTTTAATTCTTTTTTTTAGTCTTTTTAGAGTTATATTTTGTTTGATTTTTTGCGTTATATGCGAAAAATGTCGCGATATTTCAGTATATTTGAGAAACTGTTTTATTAAAGAGTTATAGATAACTGTATGATAATTAAAAAAAATTGCATAAGTTTGATTAAATAATTCTACTTCGACGATTAAATCTTTGTTGCTATAATAGTCTTCTCTGACGTCTGTTAGAACAATAAAATTATAATACGTTAGTAACTATTTTTCAAGAGCTCAGACAATTCCAGAGTTCTTGAAAAATAATCCGAAAAAGTCTTAAGAAACCAAATACGAAGAACCAAGAAGTTTGGAAATAGTTCAGAAATTTCGATAAGTCGAAGGTCTAAAGATTAGATGAAAAAGTATAAAAATTATATGATAAAAGGATTCAAGGATTCAAGGATCTAAAGATTCAAGGTTAGGAAAAAATCTGTTTGACCTGTCATATCTTTGCCTTTGGCTAAAAAATAGAGTTTTGCCTCAATAAATATGTCTTGACATTCAAAAAAAAAAGATAATTTTGTTTCGCTTCATAACTTATAGACTAGAGATCTGTAAAAATATTACGTATAAATACTGCATTCCAGGCCAAAAGTTTGGAAATATTTAAAAAATTGACTTTTTTAGAATTACTTACTCGAACATCCATAACAATGCATTATTTTAACAATTCTTTTTTTAGATACAATAGCTGTTATTGAATCTGAATAAGTATTATGAAAAAATATATTGTATTGTTACAGGGATATTTAATAAGTAATCCAAAAAATGTTAATTTAAAAAAAAATACTTCTAAACTTTTCAGCCTGAAGTGTAAGTGCATAAACAAACAAACACGCACACGCGTAAAATAATGGTGGACAAATAACAGTGGACAAATAATAATAGAACGAATAAATTTTATACAGAATAAGTGAGTTTATTGAGATTCTCTATTATCGATTTCACGTGGATGTTGGAAGCACTTTCGAAGTACGGTTGGAACTATTATCAACGAGATAGACCGAGTCACCCTCGCGGAACAATCCGTTTTCTATTTTCTTATGTACAGAGTGTCCCAGTATTCCTCTTACGGTCTATTTTAACTACTTTAATCACACATATTGATCTCTTATGTCATATCTTATTAAAAATTCGATCAACGATTTTATAATATTTCGAGTATTTACTTCTCTTCAAATATCTCGATGACTATTCCTTCATTCAAATTAAATCAACGATAATAATTAACATTAATAAAAAAAAAGAGACGGGCCAACTTTACTAAGCGCTTGTATTCTCGGAATTCAATCTACAATGTCTATATCTAAAAAAGAGTGGATTAAAACTATCACCTTTTCTTCGCAAAATCTCGGCATTAAATCTTCAACGACTGTGAACTATATTCGTTGAGCAAAATCATGAAAATAAAAATTCCGTTGAGGTAGTTCCCTCCGTACGAGATTAAGAGAGCTCCACCTCGAACAGAGAGCGCCATCGCGCTCGTTCGCTTTTCTCGACGTCATATTTTGAAAAAACGAAGGAAGAGAAATCCTCGTAATTCGGGGACGATCGAATAGCTCCGTTCTCTCGTTCACGAGGAATCGCCTCCATGTTGGCGGCGAAGAAAATATCCCTGATGGTATTCCCGACGTGCGGCGGTGACGCGGCGTTAGCGAGAGTCCGGGACGTTCTGTATATAAAGTATATATATATATATATATATA